AATGTAATGAAACAAGCTATATGAATGGTTGAATGTGAAGCTGATGATGTGCCCTGTAAACTTTCACTCAATCCAAAATAAAAGCAATTAATTTAAAAAAAAAAAAATGAAGGGGAATGCATAAAGATTAATATCCTAGGCTTTAGTGAGCTGTAATAGATTGGTATTGGCCATTTTGAATCTGACAATCATTTGGTTTACTACGCTGGGAATGACAAATTGAGAGAAATGGTGTAACATTCATCATCAAAACGACATTTCAAGATCTATATTGAAGTATAATGCTGTCTGTGATAGTATAATGTCCATATGCCTACAAGGAAGAACAGTTAACACCATTATTATTCAATTTACCCAGAAACCACTAAAGTCAGTGATGATGAAACTGAAGATTTCTACCAACTTCTTCAATTTGAAATTGATCAAACATACAGTCAAGATGTACTGATCTTTACTGGTGATTGGAATGCAAAGGTTGGAAACAAAGATGAAGGATCGGTACTTGGAAAATATAGCCATGTGATAAAAATGATGCTGGAGATCACATGATAAAATTTTACAAGATCAATGACTTATTCATTGCAAATACCTTTTTAAACAACATAAAAAACTACTAAATAGATGGACTTCATCAGATATCAAATTGACTACATCTGTGGAAAGCTCAGTAACAAAACAAGATCAGGGTAGACATGGTAGACCATCAATTGGTCATATGCAAGTTCAGACTGAACCTGAAGAAAATTAAAACAAATCCGTGAGAGCCAAAATATGACCTTGAATTTCCCATCTAAATATAGAGATGACCTCAAGAATAGATTTGATGCATTAGACACTAATGACTGAAGATTAGAAAAGCTGTGGGATGATATCAAGAACATAATACAGGAAGAAAGCAGTATGTCATTAAGAAGACAAGGAAAAAAATAAAAGACACACACACACAAAAAGAATGTCACAAGAGACTCTGAAATTTAGAGATGTTAAAGCTAATGTAAGAAATGAAGAGGTAAAAGAGCTGAATAGAAAATTTCAAAGCAACTTGAGAAGACAAAGTCAAATATTGCAAGGAAATGTGCACACAGATTTGTAGTTAGAAAAACAAAAGGAAACATACTCAACAATTCTCAAGCTGGAAGAACTAAAGATAAAAATTCAATCTTCGCCTTGCAATATTGAAGGATTCTATGGGCAAAATATTGAATGATGCAGAAAGCATCAAAAGAAGATGAAAGACTGCACAACAGAATCAGTGTACCAAAAAGAAATGGCTTATGTTCAGCCATTTCAAGAGGTAACATATGATAAAGGGCCAGTGGTACCGAAGAAAGAAGTCCAAGGTGCACTGAAGGCATTGGCAAAGAACAACACTCCAGGAATTGATGGAATACAAATTAAAATCATTCAAAAAAACTAATGAAGCACTAGAGACACTCACTCATCTATGCCAAGAAATTTGGAAGACTGCCTAACTGATTGGAAGTAATCCAAAAAGTGGTGACCCAACAGACTGTGGAAATCATTGCACAATATCATTAATATCAAATGCAAGTAAAATTTTGTTAAAGATAATTTTAAAATGGCTTCAACATTACATTGACAGGGAACTGCCAAAGGTTCAAGCTGATTCAGATGAGGACATGGAACAAGTGATATTATTACTGAATCAGGTGGAACTTGGCTGAAAGCAGAGAATTCCAGAAAGATGTTTACCTCTGCTTTATTGACTATGTGAGGATTTAAAACTGTGTGGATCATAACAAGTTATGGATAACATTACTTAGAATGGATATTCTGGAACATTTAATTGTGTTCCTAAAGAACCTGTACATAGACCAAGAAGCAGTCTTTGGAACAGGACAAGGGGACACTGAAAGGTTTAAAATCAGGAAAGGTGTGCACCAGGATTGTAGTCTTTCACCATACTTATTCAATCTATATGTGTAGGAAAATAATCCGAGAAGTTAGATTATATGAAGAAGAACATGGGATCAGAGTTGGGGGGAGTCTCATTAACAACCTACATTATGCAGATGATACAACCTTGCTTGTTGGAAGCAAAGAGGTCATTAAATATTTACTGATGAACATCAAAGGCCACAACCTTCATTATGGGTTGCACCTCAATGTAAAGGAAACACAAATCCTCATCAATGGACCAATAAATAACATCAAGATTGAATTTGTCAAAGACTTCTTTTTGCTTGAATCCACTGTCAACATTCATGAGTCAAGAAATCAAACAAAATATTGTATTTGGCATGTCTACTGCACAAGACTTCTTTAAAGTATTCAAGAGCAAAGATATCAGTTTGAGGACTAAGGTGCACCTGATCCAAGCCATCGTATTTTCAGTAGCCTCATATGCATGTGAAAGTTGGACAGTGAATAAGGAAGACCGTAGAAGAATTGATGTATTTGAGTTATGTAGAAGAATATTAATAGTACCATGGCCTGCTAAAAGAAAAAAACAAGTCTGTGTTGGAAGAAATACAGTGAGAATGCTCCCTGGAAGCCAGAACATATCGTACTTGGGACATATTATCAGAAGGGACCAGTCCCTGGAGAAGGATATCATGCTTGGTAAACTTTAAGTCAGTGACAAAGAAGAAGAACCCCAACGATATGGATTGAAATAGTGTCAGCTGCAGTGGGCAACAAGAGTAACAAAATTTGTGAGGATAGTGCGGGACCAGGCACTAGTTTGTTCTGTCGTACATAGGTTGTCATGAGTCGGAACCAACTCTATGGCATCTAGCAACAACAGCAGAGGTCATTCTTAAAACTATAGTAAATGTATAGCTTCTTAACTGTTTCCAGTGCTGCCCTATTAATACCATAATCATACCTCAGCAGGCCAGTGGCCATTTGTAAAAATGACTTGGGGTAGTCTCTGACCTTTTCTAGCTTCAGAAAGAAGTAGGTGGACAATTACCATCAGCATCAGCCCAAGGCTGATAATTATGAGGTGGAGATCAAACCTGCCTCAACCCACCAACCTTTTTTTTTTTAACCAATTCTGACACCAACCATCCTTCCCCATGACACTTTCTGCTTCTCTGCTGCATTGGATAATTTATTGCAATGGCCACACAGACCTCACAGACAATACTCAAAGTTATGGGTCCTATTAGGGAAGTAACTGGTTACACTTTAGATTCAGGAATGCTAAGAATACTGTTCTTCAATCAGAACAGCCTCCTTTTAGCTGTGCTTACATTATGCCCAAGCCCTGAGGCCTGTTGACCTCTGCCCTATTCAAGCAAGAGTTACAAAGCTCTTTTAGTTCTATTGCTAAATGTCCACAGACACTTCGTTCTGCCAGGAAACCTCAACCAGAAGGTACTCGGCTTTCTTGCTACATCAGCTGGGAAGGTTACAGCCTTGTCTCTTGCTTCTGGTGACTGGTTTTTTTTTGTTGTTGTTGTTGCTGCTTGTTGCCATCTCTTTCCACCTCTGGATCACAACTCTGTATCCTTGTATTGAAGAGGGTCAGCACAGGGATCTCCAGTCCAATAGAAGCACTACAGTGCTGGTTCCTGATGGACAGAAGACACTCCATCTACCTCTGAGATGGCCATTTTTAAGCCTAGCAGGATATCAAATCTAGCAAGTTTCCTCATTAGGGTTCCATGTACCCTATTTGTATGGTCTCACCTTCTAAGGGTCCCATGTACCTTATTTACATTAGAGGAAACTATCCAGTCTCCTTGGTGGCAATGGATTAATCTTAAGGGCATTTAACTCAGTTCTTTCACAGTTGTATATTTTTTCATTGCTATTTGCAATGAAAAGTTACGTAGCCATGAAAAAATATACAACTATGGAAGAATGCCAGGAATGATAAAATGAAGAGGAATGGTGTTGCATTCATTGTCAAAAAGAACATATCCAGATCAGTCATGAGGGACAATGCTGTCTGTGATGGGATAATATCCATGTGCCTACAGGGAAGCCCAGTTAACACCACTATTATTCAAATGTACACACCAACCACTAAAGCCAATGAGGATGAAACAGAAGAATTCTACCAACTTCTTCAATCTGAAATCGATCAAACATGCA